GTCTGCATGCAGATGGGAAACACTCCACCTGCTGTCAGTATAATTGGCTGTTGAAGATTATGCAGAAAGTAGACCAATGTGGACTTGTATTGGCGACTGGCTGCCGTCCAATTCGATTGAAACAAACTATCGGAGAGGTCCTGGCAATCATCGATGATCATGTTGCAAAGGTAGCAAACAGGAAATGTTTCCAGCAATACACAGACCATGAAGCACACGGTGCCGAGGCCCGTCCAGAAGGTTGTAAAAAACATGACGTTGATCATGGACAGACCCAGAACTATGCCAATCAGGAGGAACTGCACGAAGATGGTGCCCGAGTAGATGGGCCGCAAAGCATTGAAATAGCTAAGGTGCCATATGGCAAATAGAATCACATAGATCAAATTTTATACTGATGAGCAAACTACTCACTCCAAAATCAAGCAGTGGTCCTGGATGCATTTCCTCAGATCATCATGGTGTTCCTCCTCAGTTTTAGTGGGATCCGTGCGCAGTTTAGTCAGTCGGTCCCTGAGCAGAAGGATGTGACAGCGAGCCATCAGCATGTGGCTCAGAGCAGAGACATCCGTACACTGATCCATGAGGACACCCCCACTCATCAGCATAACCTCACACACGCTGGAAATAAAAAAGTTCTTCTCCTCGTCCAGTCCAGGGAGGTACATCAACCAGGCGTGCCTGCCCATCAGGATGTAACCCGTAAAATTGACCGTAACATATCCGAAGTAAACAATGAAAAAGACAACGTAGCACATGTTGCCATGGGCCACGCAGCGGTGCACACTGGAGCGTTCCTCATCGCTGGTGCAGCGCAGGTCCAGTTGATCCAGCACCTTATTGGATGCCTGAAATCCCTTGTATCCCCAAATGATGAAGAGGGACTTCAGAACGCATCCGTACATATTCACCGTGATCTCGAGGGAGCTGAGAAACTCTCCCGCCGTGAAGCTCTTGAACATCTGAATGTATGGCATCAGCAACGAGATCGGTAGGATGAGCATGAACACCAAATTCAGAATAATCGCATAAACCATATAATGGATTCTCCACTTTTTATCGTCGGGTGCGGTCCAGCCTAAAACCTTTTGAAATTGATCCAAGTAGACAAATGCATCGCGGGACCGAGGCTTCTCCGTCAATGGCAGGGCTTTGATACGAGGAAAAAACTTGCTCAACATCTTGTCTTTGCTTATTTTTCGACTGTATCGCAGGTGAAGGCACAAATGTCTTTTATAATTTGCCGTTTGGGGTTTGTTGTGGGTTTCGCAGATGACGTTGCCGTTTTTTTTTACATTTAAAAAGTTGCACTATAATTTGTTGAATTATTAAATCGGGAATGAAAGTGCTGTTAAAATGGGAATATTGCAACTCATGTTCAAACCAGCACAGTTAACAGCGCAGCTTAACAGACGGGCTTGTAGAAGCGGCGATCGCTGTTAAGGTGTGTAAGTTTTCCGCTGCCCGCTAACAGTGGCGCACAGCGCCCGTCTACAGTGCTGTTAGCGCTCTCTGCTCTGAGAATGAGCTCGTGCGTAGATTGCGTAATTTGTTTTATTTCAAATGTATTTAAGTTTTAATTGAATTTAATTATAGTTTTAGAATCAATTTAAAGAGTATCTTCTAGTCAAAATATTCCAGCATGCACTTTTTCACATTTTAAATTCTTAATTTGCTAACGTCTTTTCGAGTTCGTAAAAGCTCCACTGGAATTGGTTGAATTATTAATTTTGGGAATGAAAGGGCTGCGTAAACACTGTTCACCTCATAGTCAAACCGCACTACATTCCCTGACCAGACAAAAATACATAAAAATAGATTAGTTATTTGGTAATTTTTGGGCCCATAAATAATCCCATTTGGTAACGAAACCACAGACCATGATATGGTCTGGGCCGGAAATATAATTTATACACTATGTGCTCGATTTTAATTAGCAACAGCATTTTCAGTGCTGCACTCACTGGAATGTAGTTGAGTTTTGCATTTGAGAGAGGGAGCAAGCGGGGTTCCTGTACCTGATGCCAGGCCATAGACAGAAGTTATTAGAAACAATTCATATTTATGTACATACACATTTATGTGCAGAATATATGGAGATATTTCAAGCCTCGTTTCGTTTTTAACTGCTTCAGAAGTTAAATGAGCCGCGAAATTTCCATCCAGCTCAATCAGATTGAGGAAACATCCTGCTCTTCGGATTGATGCAATTAAAAGTAAATTCTCTCGTGATATTACAGGACTTTTGACACGCTTTAAGCAACTCGAACTAATTAAATGAATACGCGTTGAATACCATAAAAATCTCTTCGCTCGTTTTTCCTTTTTTGGGTCAAACCTTTGAGCGACGCTCACATAGCACACAGGAATGGAGCCCACTGGCTGTCCAGTCCGACCAGTCAGCAGAGTTCGTCGTCAATCCTTTGGGTGAATGCAATTTATTTTAATTGCGATGGCAGGCAGTGCAGGGTCAGCTCAAAGGAACGCAAAGGAAACCCATTTCAAATGGCCGTAAAACTACGCCAAAAACGGTCGCGAGCTCATTAAAATTTGAGCACCAAAAACGATCGCAATGCGAGCTCATGTGATACGTGAATGGCTTTGAATAGCAGATTTTTGCCAAGCAGAAAGATGCAAGAAAATTCCAGACTAATCGTGTAATTTGCAGCTGCCACAGCAGGTAGGCCGGCATAGCGCCAGCTGCCACTGTAAGGGATTTTCCCAAGAAGGAAAATTACTGGTGGCTCAAGCGAAATTCTGCTTAAGAGGAAGGATGGGATTTGTCTACGTCGGCAGGTAGCCTGAGGTTGCATATAAAACTGAGAGACGCACGAGCCATGACACCATTGCGTTCTGGACACTCGACGCTAACACATCATCAGCCATCAGTCATCAGTCATCAGTTTGAAACATAACAACATTATGGCCGATTTATTATTCCCACAAATGGAGCGTCCTCTGCCATCGATGCCTTCGTTGCACTACACGCTGTTTGCGTATCGCGAGGAGCTGAGACGTCGCGATGTGCCCTTCATGAAGATGTCCACGATCAAGCTGCACCTGACGGACAACTTGATACTGCAGACCATCAAGAACATACGGCAGTTCGACACCATTGAGATTATGAATCTCAACAGGGAGATCACCTTCAAGCGGCGACTCACCAAGCAGATGCGCAAAGTGCGGAAACTGGAGAAACTCGGCCTGAACATCGATCCACGGAAACTCACCGAGGGCGGCCAGTGGCTCTGAACAGCAAGCGAAAACTGTGTGAAAATTCTATACTACAAACAACTCTTTCCGAACTCTAATCATACTACAAGCATGTGAAATTAGTTTATAAGCGAAATCTCCCCAAGTTTCTAAAACTCAATAAGCCGAACCAATAGATGATTTTTTTGAATGAAATATATACAAGAAAAATATGCAATTCGCTTCAAGTGATCCACTCGGTTTCTATAACTATTTTGCCCTTGCTTAACGTTTCAAAAATTAGGCGTAGAAAAATGTTTCATCGTTTCTCCTTAGTGGTGGCATTCATTGTGGTTTTTCTTACTGGCTTATCGTATTGTTATGGCCATGATATCGAAGAGTTTCCAACTGAAGAAGCCACGGATAAATCTGCAGTTGATGATATGGGGCATGAAATGAGACCTCAGTCCAGGGATGACAGTGAAGTGCATGAAATTCACCAAGTTGTTGCTGACGATGATGATGATGTCGCAGGAGTAATCGAGAAATGCACACCCGGCAAAGTCCTAAGCCTGAATACCAATAATTTTAATCTGATGACGCAAACTGGTAGATTTTGTATCCTGATCTTTGAATCCCCTTTGAGCTACGTGTCCGCTCTGGCCAAAATCAAATTGGGGAAGCTGGCCAAAGAAATGAAATACAGGGACGCTGTGTGCATCTCGGATTTGGACTGCACAAAATCGAAAGAAATTTGCCACGAACTACAAATCGAAGCACGTCCAACTTTTCTGTGGTATCAGAATGGGCGCAAACTTGGCTCCTACAATGGCAAACACGAAGTGGAATCTTTGAGAAATTTCGTCGATGAAATGATAGCCTCTAATGGAACATTCGTCGAAAAGTCAGGAGCCAGAGAAATAAGTTATTTAACGATTAATATTGTCATGATTGTTATGAACCTTTTGGCCATTTAGCTACGAGTCTTATTATTAAATTGAATTAAATGACAATTAAGCCAAGTAATTGTTACAAGCAGAACGTTAGAAGAATCTGAATAATCTTCTGCATAGTTTCAGTCAACTTTTTGTCCATTAAGAATGAAGTTGTAGACTTGAATGTTTGGATACACCTAAGCTCTGCGTTTGTTGTGCCTTATCTACCGAGCTGTGGTGTTTATATAGTTAAACCAAATTAGCCTGGAAATATATGACAAGAGAGACGAAAATGTTTCAACTCTCGTTACTTATGGCTGTATTCATATTCATCAGTCTGATAGAGACACCAACATCAGAAGTAGAGGACCTCAGGCAATCAATCGACTGGAGTAGCGATGATTTTGAGACAAATCTGAAAAAGAAGAATCTCATTGTCGAGTTCTACGGAATGCGCTGCCAGAGCTGTAACAGTCTATACAGCATACTGTGGAAGTTGATGGGCAGCCAGGGTGTAGCCAGTACCAGCCTTGCCATTGGGGCCATAAACTGTTCCACTTACGAGCCATTTTGCATCAGTAATAATGTCACGACCTATCCGACTCTACTGTACTTTGAGAGGAACGATGGAGTGCCAAAGAAAGCGTACAACATGAGCGCCTTTATGCCCGGGAAAAGTCTCGTAAAAAAGGAAGTTGAACAGCAAAACGACAAGTCCGAGGGCTGTAAGCTCGGCGAAGTATTCACATTGACCAACGTGAATTTCGCTTCATCCACCAAAAATAGGAATTTCTTTGTGAAATTCTTTCAGCCAAGCTGCGTATTCTGTCTGGCCATAAAGCAGGTGTGGATTGATCTGGCCATCGAATTGAAGCAGGAAACGGCTGTTTGTATCGGAGAGATCGATTGTTCCGATTCCAAAGATTTATGCAAAAAGTATCAAATAACCGCCGTGCCAAAGATTATATGGTTTGGCCCTGGCGATGACATCAGGGTCTATAACGGCGGTGGCAACTTGAGGTTGATGAAGCGTTTTGTTTTAGATATGCTTGATGACAACGGCTCGCTGGCAGCTCAAAGAATTTCAACTGCTGCCAGTAATCCATGTCATCCAAAGAGAGTTTTGGTTTTAATCAGCATGTTGGGATTGATCAAAAATTATTTGTTCATTTAAATGAAATAAAAAGTATACCTATCAAAGGATAAGATTCCATTCAGACTTTTTGGCTTCTTCGCCATCCCAGAGTGTACTCTGTTGAGGCGCTTACTGTAACATGTGTCGAATAGCTTTATTTTAAGTTCATTTTTGTCTCGCCATCTCCCTCACACTCTTTGCGTATTAACCCCGTAGAATTATTCGTTGCTGCTATTAAAATCATGTCGTCTCTTCCTGATAAACGGCACAACTTTCTGAGAGCTTTGACAGGCACGAGCACTCTCTTCTCACTCCACTCTCTTTCTCCTCTGTTATCCCTTTTTAGTAGGTTTTTGCATTCGAGTGCGTTTCTTAATGATTTCACAAAGTTTTGTCAACCAGATGCACATTACATGCAGACACCATAACCACCAACACCCCCACCCCCACCACATGCATGCGGGTTGAGGCAAAACAAACATAAAGAACAACTACAACGCGCTTCTTCCATGATGCGACCATAAAAAGTTTGTCAACGGCAACAACAAACATGCATGAAAAACGCCTGGCAAAGCGTAAATTGTATTCTCAGCTGCATAGACTTGTTATGCCCTAGGTGAGGGTGTGACGAATTTGCAGAGTTGTTTGTAGCATAGCGAAGGCAGCATTCCCATAGGAGCAGCCTGAGAGTATCACAGCTTTCGGTCATCAATGCTTGCACTTCTCTCTTGTATTTTTTTCGGCAATGCAAAGAGTGTCGAGCTGGTGAGAGTGGGAGAGTGCGAGTGCGAGAGCGAGAGTGCGCTTGCAAAGTTCTGTGGGGTGGGATTGTGTGTTTGCATGTGGGTTTTAGTAATTTAGTGCCCCATTTGAAATGTCTTTTTTCATGGTCGAAAGGGGGGGGAGAGGAGTGGGGGAAGATTGATGAGAGCGGCACGGAGAGAGAAGTATGGACTGCTGAGGCTGCAAGCATGTTAACATTGCAAAAACAATGCCCATGCATAATGGGCCGCCTGCAGTGCATTGCTGTGGCGGGTAACGCATTTATTATTGAAAAAGCTCTCAACGCATGTACCAAAACCAGAGCGGTAGATTTTATAAGTAACGGGACCGCGCAGATTCCTTAGGTACGGTGGGTACTTGTGCGTGTCATAAATAATAAGGTGTTTTCAATAGCACCTGTTGGTTGTGGAGTATCCTCATTCCCTGACAACAGCTAAATAAAGGTTATAATTCCTTAACGTCTGTTCATTGAACCGCAATGTCCACTGTATAAAGGCAAACTCTGAAGACAACAGACGTCAAACGGACTTGGCTAAAAAACTGACTTACACACTGACAGACAGACACAGTTGACATGCAACTTTAGCGTAAAAAACAAATAGCTTTACAAAGGAAGAAAAAGCTCAGCTATCCATCGTGTATTTTGATACTCTTGAGCGGAATATTTCTTTGCAATTGCATTTCAAGTGACCGGCAAGGGACGGCGCAAAAAATAAGCGTGAGGCGCCCCGGAATGCGTCTGGAAAAAGAGAGGAGGACACGCAAAAGAAAATATTAATCCGAAGGAGCAACAAACAGCACTAGAAGTTTCTGTCTCTGTCGTCCGCAGAAAACTTTCTCCTCTCTTCGGTGATGGGTACAAACTTTTTTTTATTCTGCTCCAAACTTTTCGGTTGGCACTCGAACAAAATAGCTCAATGACAGGAATGTAACTCTGGGTGAGTGTCAAAGTGCAGACGTTGCACACAGTCAGCAGCACATGTGCACAGACATGGCCTGTACATAGATATTTTTGTATCTGTATGCAAGTGAACTGCATTCAAGCACTGTGGTCTGAAAAATGTTGCGAAGTAGCAAACTTTTTGTATTGGATTTAACTTGTTATTTACTTTTGGGCAACTCTAAAGGAACGAAGAAAAAATTATCCGAGTTAAAGATGGAGTTTTTGAAGTGGTCTGCTGCAAAATATTTACACAGAAGTTCCACGATTGGTGATGCAACAGTCAATAATGTTTCTGGTTTAGCATATTTTTACTGAAGGATAAAGTATGAGAAGTTTGGGAAAGTTGTGATAAAGAAAAACAGATAGGGATAATCCGCAGTGAATAAATAAACCGAAAGATATTGGACCACATTTCAAAAGAGACAACAATTTATGAATCCCTAAAATATTTGTATAAAAAATGAGGCAACTTGTACGAGTCAATTTACTGTGAGGATCTATTTTATTTTTACACATTTATTTGAAGCAAAACATACATATTTCCTGCGTATTTTCACCTGGCATTTCACAAGAATTCCCATATGAAACTTTGGACAGTGACTATCCCCTGTATACATGATGTTTAACATTTTTGGCAGCAAACTAATTTCAAGAGCACCCACCTGATGTGACTTTCAAGTTTTCAGCATCAAACATATATCAAATTCCAACCACACTCATGCCCCAATTTCGGGCCTTGCCTCCAGCTGTTGTTCCACAATTTGAAGACCCAAACCACTGTGAGAGCCATCCGCAAAGTCGCAAAATATTTTGTCCTTCCAGACAATGGCATCCAGAAGTGGGGAATGGATCTGGGCCAAGAAAAGGCAAAGCTCAAAGTGCACAGAAATTCCAAGCGGGCCACCGTATCATCTACTCGTAAAACCTCTCTCTGTGGGGACCTCCGATGGCCGGGATAAAATATGCACAAAGGAAATGGAATGAAGTGTAACGAAACTAGTCGTGACACAATTGTTGAGGCAAATTGCAAAAGTCATTGAGGAATAGAGGGCCGCGCCTCACCAAAAAACAGATAAAATATCTGTCCCTCAGCGAAAATGGTCAATTCATAAAATTCCTAGGCCAATAACATTATCGGCTCGTAAAAGAGCGAGCGAAAAACACTGAAAAATATACAAAAGTTATTTTCGCATAATATTAAATTTTGTGAAAATGTCTCCCTCACACACACTCGAACACTCTAACACACAAGTAAAACGCTTGCGAGGCAGCCGGGAACCCATTGGCAACAGATAAATGAGGCACTCGGGCACAGGCGACAGCAGCAGGGAGGAAGCAGCCACACATCCGATACAGTAAGCTGTAATATGTGTTGGCCAAAACGAGCATAAAACGAAGCCCCGATACAATCCAAATTGAATCAATTGAATTGAATCGCTAAGCAAAAGGTTTGAATGTATCGAGTGCGGCGTTTGCATGGTTGAGGGTACATGGGTTACCCTGGAAAGTTTCGGAATATGTTTATTTTATACAACATTTAATGTCCACTGCAACAGAGGACGAATGTCTATAAAGCACATAAAATATATGTAAATAGTTTTACTCGAGAATTTAGAATTTCATTGAAATTTCTTTTAATAAAATACGAGGTATTCCCTTAGCTCAAACCTGCAACTAGTCCGCTACTATTTACTCCTCTTTCGCTTTGGTGGAACCCTTTTATACGCCGCAAAAGACCCCAAAACATCGTCGCGAACACGCTGGGAAATAAAAGTAAATTGATGTCTTCAACTGTCGCAGACGATGGAGTGAGCGTGTGCCGAGGGGTGTGAGGTGTGTGGCCGAGGGGCGAGGTGTGTCATTGAGTCGCATGCATGTTGCGGTAGTTTTCAAGGGACTGCTGTTGCTCCAACAATTTACTCAATGATGCACTGCGGTAGATTCATATTTATGATGCGATATTCCTGTTTGGGGATTCGAGACATCTGTTTTGTGGATAAGTTAATGCTGGCTTGGTACAGATGGGTGGGTGGATTAAGTAGTTTGAAGTTCTAGTTTACTCAGCACCCACTGCTGCCCAGCCTCACTTGCAGAGTGACTTTATTTTTGAAGTTTTTAGAGGGTTAGGGTTAGGGAACCGCAGAACGGTTCTGTCATCTCCAGGCAGAAAGAATTGAGAATTGGCAAAAGTTTTGCCATTGAAAACAAAGTGAAACAACTCCAGCGGGGGGATACTGAAGGAGCTGTCTGCCAAGTGTTGTGCAGTGAGCTGTAAGCAGTTTCTCGAGCATCTCATTCTCATTGTAGTCCCGTTACGCTCTCCCCGCTCACGACACTGTCTCCCCCTCTACCCCGTCGTCGCTGTTTGCATGCTCACTTCTTCTCTCTCCACGCTTACTTACTCCCCTGCTCACTCCGCTGTCGCTCTCTCTCTCTCTCTGCTCACGGCGCTACGCTCCCTTCTCACACCGCTTTCTTCACATCCCACTCCGCTCTCTTGCGTAAAAGTAACAGTGTCTCTCCCAAGTTGGCAAGTCAGCAAAAGCTCCCTTGGCGCTGCGTGAATGTTGTCACAATCGCATTAGTTATTGATTCCCGTACATCTGGCGTATGTTGTTACACCCAGTGCGTATGTCAGTCACACGGATCCTCCGCAGTACTTACCTTAACTACATGTGTTAGCTTTAGCTGCCTTCTTGAGTGGTAAATATAAAATGAAAATGATTAAGCAACATGCAAAGACACTTAGGAGGTGTCGGATGCGCTTTATTTTTGGATTTTACATTTCACTCACACACATGCTATATATGCATGCCACGTGCGTGTGTCGCATTTATCTTTGTCAATATGCTTATTTTGTGGAGCATTTATTTCCCCCAGGTAAGGTGCCAAAATGCATTCAATTAATAAGACTCTGAATCTCAGGCGAAATAAATCAAAAGGTACATTGAGTTTTTCTTTCACACAGTAGCTTTTTTGCATTCCAATTGCACT